ATGTTTACCCGAACAGTTGAAATACTTTTAAGTAATTACTTAAATGTCAACACATTTTATATAATGAAATATTGATCATATGTACAAACATCTTGAGGATTCTTTTGTATTCTTGGTGTTGGCATCAATAATTTAGAAATGAAGTCAAGTTTTACCTTCTCCACAGAAATCCTCACTTAGTCCAAGATGGTGAGTAGAACTATTTATCCAAACTACTATTATTTACAAAGAAAGCGACACAGGGTTTTCATCAGTAACTATCGGCATGATAGGTGTGGCACAAACTCATCCACCTGAACATAAAGTGGTTGTGGGGTACTACAGAAATGTACCGTCCAAAATAAGAACACAGAAATACACCCCAGTTGACCACAGCATATCAACGCACACATTGGTCGAGGTCATCTACACCAACATGTAGTCTCTGAAACAAACATATCTTACAGAAAAAAACGCTGTTAAACATGTTAAATTATCTTATTAAAACATAATAAAAAGGAGCCCAGAGACACTCTTCATTTTCCTGATACTGCAGTAATCTAGACTTGCCCACTATTATAGACTTGCATGGGCTATAGAGAGAAGAATATGTGTCCCAATACAATCCATTTTATATACAGCACTGTCACCACTTTCTAACAACAATCTATTTCCAAAACATGTGAGACATTATGTTTCATGTGAAACTGAAACCACTTTCACTCACTGTATAACAGACTCATTGAGCTACGAAGGGGAATGCAGGGTGAGTGAGTGAGTTGGGTTTAATGCTGCTTTTAAGTTTTAACAGTATTCCAGTTATATTACCGTGTCAGCTTCATGTGGGAGGAAAGCCCGAAGTAATGTAGGTCTCAGACATTTACCACTTCGGTGAAACCCACGAGCACAGGTATGGTGCTGGCAAACCTAGAAACATTATCGGGGCAAACCGGGATTCGAACCCACAATCATAGGTTTCTGGCGTGCCCATGGGATGCAACTCCGCACGACGAATCACGGCACCTAAAAGAATGGCCTCCCGCGCCCCCATGGGATGCAGGGAGTGAGTGAGTGAGTTGGGTTTCATGCTGCTTTGAACAGTATTCTTGTTACGTCACAGTATGACAGCTCAATGTGGGAAAGCCTGACATGATGCAGGTCTCACACATCACCACTTTTGGGAAACCCAAGAGCACGGGTATGGTGCTGACAAACCTAGAAACATAATCAGGGCAAATTTGGATTCCAACCCATGATCATGGGTTTCAGGCGTGCGCGAGGGACACAACTCTGCACAGCGAATTGCAGCACCTTAGATGACCGGGCCAGCCAGGCCCCCTCTGTACTCAGGGAGGTACCAGGGGCATATATCTGTAATACATCCCCTTCAGCCATAGTAAGTCACTGTGACTGTATATTCTTAATGCATAGTTTTTATTTAAACAACAGTATAACAACAGTATAACAACAGATCTAACAGAACACATAGTCACTGTGAAAAAAGCATTTCAAATAAGGCTCCAATCGTTAAAACATTTTCCAGTCCTTCATAGTGAGTGAGTGAGTATGGTTTTACGCCGCTTTTAGCAATATTCCAGCAATATCACGGCGGGGGACACCAGAAATGGGCTTCACACATTGTACCCATGTCGGGAATCGAACCCAGGTCTTCGGCATGATGAGCGAACGCTTTCACCACTAGGCTACCCGACCGCCCCCCCAGTCCTTCATATAACCTACACCTTGTACATGGCAATCCAAACATTTTCTCCAGTACATACGGTACTGCCTGTGTGTCTGTGAGAGTCAGGTCTCTGTTGGTCTCACTCTGATCTTGTCACCTCTTTAACTGGCTCTTAAAGGGATTGTTCTGCCTCCAGGCTTCCCCTGTAGGTCGGGGTTACAGCCGGGGTGAGAGGGGGCAGGCCCAGCCTAGTAAATGAATGGGATTTGGCGCAAGCTTAGATAAGGCAAGGCTTAGTTATCTGGGCCTGGGAAATGGCAATGCCCCTGACTTGGGTGGTAAGAGGCTGGTCCTGTGGAACAAATCACCTGTCAAGACTCAGAAACAATGGGATAGATTGCCTCTGTTTTCTTGGTACAAAGTGGTCATGTCTTGGGTCTGAGGTGTACTGTCAGATGGGTTAGCTTGTGCAAGAGGCCATTTTACTGTTGCCGTTTGAAAAGGTCGTCTTTATATTCAAGGACATGTCCTTATTTTCCCTGTGACATTTTTTTAATTTAACAGTCAGTCACATGTCACCAACCAAAGGTTCCATATCTGAATGTAACTGGTAAATATATGCTGATCTCAATGTTCAGGAATCCAAAAGACAACAAGTAACAATTCAAGGAACCATTGACAAAAGCAAGAGGAAACAGAATGCCTACAGCACCATTAAGTTTTTGTCACTTTATCAGCAACGTAAAGCCTACATCTCAAACTGGTCAGTCAAGTCAGTGACCACATTCCTACGTGATAACAACTACTGGTTCCTTCGTATAGTTCTAGCATGACAATCTAGAATGTCACATTATAAACCAGTGAGCAGAATCTGCTTTTTGATGGTCCACATTTTGTTGATGACTACACTGACAGTTATCTACTTTCAAAACCAGTAATCTCAAAACACAGGAGGTTATCCCCAAACTTAAATCATTCCCCGTAATAAAATTAAAAAAATCCAATGACTAGTCTGTCATAACAGACCATGAAACAAATATATCCAATACAGCCCATGCAAGTGTATAATGTTTGTATAGATTACTGCAAGAAAATCTCTGGGCTACTTTTATTATATTCTATAACTATAATTTAATAACTGTTTCAGGGGCAGTAGGGTAGCCTAGTGGTTAAAGCGTTCGCTCATCACGCCAAAGACCCGGGTTCGATTCCCCACATGGGTACAATGTGTGAAGCCCATTTCTGGTGTCCCTGCCATGATGTTGCTGGTATATTGCTAAAAGTGGCGTAAAACCAAACTCATTCACTTACTCACTAACAAACTGTTCCTTTTCCGTTAAATATGTTCATTTCAGAGACTAGATGTCAGTCTAACCAATGACCAGCTTTCACCGATGATCATGTAGTTTGAACCAGTACAAATCTGAGACACTTGGTGACAAGGTAGAACATGACTCACAACCAAACCCAGGATCAAGCAGTGTTGGCTACCAAATTAGTCACCTCCTCCCTGCCTGCATGACCCTAGTCTTCCCTACTACAGGACTATCTCCAACAGTTATCACTGGTCACATACTAAACCGGTTTGATGTCCCAGGTCAGCTGTGAGGTGACTGCAGAGCAGGAATGATCTCATAGGGGAGGTTGATAAGCTTGCGATTTATGACCCCCAAATAATGGGAAGGGACAGTCCCACAAGTCCACATGCCATCCAGGTGGTGATGGAAGCATGCAACTACAGGCAACACTATCAGCTTGTGGCAGCACTGATGGAGGCAGGACACCAAGTCAATGGAGGTTGAAAGGGGGACTGATCTTGTGGGGATTACTGGTGGGACATCAACATTCTCTCAGATTCCTGGGTGGTGACAGGTGCCCCTCCCCACCCCTCCATACCATCATTCCTACCTTTATCATTTAGTACTAAAGCTTCATAACCATAATCACAAAGCAGGCTTTCACCTTATATCCATTGAAGCCAAATAACTAGAGTTGGTCTTCAAGGCCTTAGATACACAGGGCTCCAGCTATATCCTGATCTACTTCTATGAAAATAAAACAGGTTTTGATCTTTGATGTTGGCCCTACATGTGTGGGGGTAATGAACAGCCCTCACAAAGATGTCAGGGTGTCAGTTTAGGGTCACAGGGTGCTCATACTCATACCACAGGAACATCAACAGCTACTGTTCACAATACTCTCTGCTAATGACAATAATAATGTATATTCAGATTAAAGGACTCCCTGTTTAATTCTCTTTCCTTAAAAAATAACTATTTTGAAAGCCTTAACATCACAGAAATATTTAGTCTATTTTTTTCAAATAACGAACCAGGTAACATAGAAATAATCTGCTATCATGCACAACTTAAAATATATCTGAAGTGCTTATAATAGATAAGCCTAGGTCATAACATATTTTGTATTGGTACTTTGTATTGATATCCTGACATGTTATGTATCTGGTTACATAGTTTATAGAATATTGTCACTGTTGCTTCATGGAACGTTTGCGCAAATAAAATCTTGTATCTTGTATCTTGTACATGTTGTATCCTGTGTCTTGTACGTGTTGTATCCTGTGTCTGATATCTTGACAAGTCAAGATCTCTCAATAACTACTGTGTCAAAGGTAGCTGATTGATGCCATTTTTACAAACTCAGAGATGCAGACTTATCTCGCATGTTCATACTTGATTAGTTTATTCTGATCAAGTTGAATATATAGTGACAGAATAAGAATGATGTTTGTTTGTTTGTTGTTGTTTTATGCTGCACTCAGCAATATTCCAGCTGTGTGACGGAGGTTTGTAAATAATCAAGTCTTGACCAGACAATCCAGTGATTGATATCATGAGCATCTATCTCACAATACAATACAATAAGATGATATGCATCAACCAAGTCAGGGAGCCTGACCACCCGATTTCGCTAGTTGCCTCTTATGACAAGTATGGGTTTGCTGAAGACCAATTTTAACCCAGATCTTTATGGGTCAAATGAAGAATGAAGAAATTGGGAAAGAGTTAGGGAGAACGCTTTTGGATTGACAGTTTGATTGACTATGGTCTTCAACAGGTTTTTAGCAATATTCCATCAATAACACTTTGGCCAACAAAAACAAAAAAATTGAAAATGTACCCATTTGTTTATTCAAACCTGGGTCCTCAGCATGCAAAGTGAATGCTTGAGCCACAAGACCACCCAGCCATCACTCAAGAATGAGAGGTAGATAAAAATGATTAATTTACAAAACACTGTCCTATACTGAAACATACATACAGAGCAGAAGGTATTTTCCCTAATTTGTGTATTTGACATTGCTAATACAACTTACCACAGGAGCAGCAGACAAAGCACTTGGTATGGTAGAGATTGCCCATGGCCTGACAGGCATCGTTAGCACCTGTCACCTTCTCCCCACAGGTGTAGCACTGACCTGGAACAGTTCAAAACACCATTGTAACACAAGCTGTAAACAATCAACGATGACATTATCTCTCAGTCTGGATAAAGTTGTTTGTAACCTTGTCATACAAATCTAAACTAAATCAACTAAATCAACCTCATTGTCATACAGAACAAATACTGCAGATGTCAGATGCCATATAAACAAACAATGAAACAGTCAAGACTACAACAGTTATACATATTTAATAGTGGCTAAAAACAATCAACATTGCCAGTGTCATAAAGGCTAAAAACAGTCAACATTGCCACTGTCATAAAGGCATAAAACGGTCAATATTGCCACTGTCATAAAGGCTAAAAACAGTCAATATTGCCACTGTCATAAAGGCTAAAAACAGTCAATATTGCCACTGTCATAAAGGCTAAAAACAGTCAATATTGCCACTGTCATAAAGGCTTAAAACAGTCAACATTGCCACTGTCATAAAGGCTAAAAACAGTCAACATTGCCACTGTCATAAAGGCTTAAAACAATCAACAATGCCACTGTCATAAAGGCTTAAAACAATCAACATTGCCACTGTCATAAAGGCATAAAACGGTCAATATTGCCACTGTCATAAAGGCATAAAACGGTCAATATTGCCACTGTCATAAAGGCTTAAAACAATCAATGCTGCCACTTTCAATAAGGCTTAAAACAAACAATGATGCCATTGTCATAAAGGTTTAAAACCGTCAACAATATCACTGTCAGTTACCTTTAAAAGATCAATCATTGTTTAAACACCATTTCCCTACAGGTAAACTAAATAACCTTTCTCTATGGTGTAACCATGGTAACTGTATCATCCCGAACTGTCATAAAGCATGAACACAATCTCCCCACCGTCCCACGGGAAAGGCTTCGTGTATTCTCCAGCACTCAACTATGGCAAATAATACACCCTACTTGGAGTGTAGGCCCAAATTAATGCTGTTGTTTTTTCTAATCTTGAACTTTGACAAATATGTCTTAGGCATCATCAGAACAAATATCAAGAAACCATCTTAAATGTGTGACATAATCATGATGATGAATGACATAACTAAGAAAGAAAAAGACTTCAAAGAAATTATCAAGACATGACTGTAACGTTTTGTTTTATGATTTATATAAAGACATGATAATCCATGTCATAACCCAAATCAATGACTGATTCAAACCACCAACTTCCAACCACTGGGATAAATGCATACCACAATACTCTTTCAAAGGCATTCCAAACATCATACCATATTTCCCTGTTCCAGAAGCAGTGAGGTCACCCCCACATATTGACATTCACACATATAGAGGAGAGGCCTACATGCTCCTTCCCATTCCGCCAGTATCCCCACATACCGCTCTGACCACAGGTCAACCAGCCGGGCAGAATCGGGCCTTAAGAAACAATAGCTGGTAACCCCAACTTTTAGCCAGGCTCAACACATCTCTGTCATGTCAATCCACAGAGCTTGTAGCAAGGTCATAAACTGTGTGCAGTTTCATCTTCTACTGCCACAGGTGTCAGCTGTGGACATGGCTCCAGCGAACACCAGGAAGTCCGACACCATTAAGTCCGACACCAGGAAGTCCAACACCAGGAAGTCCGACACCAGGAAGTCCAACACCAGGAAGTCCAACACCAGGAAGTCCAACACCAGGAAGTGAGCCTCTGTGTTAATCTCAGACAAACTACATGGTACTGCCTTTTCATTTGTTGTCACAGCTACTCAGTACTATGTAAATTGGACACAACACAACACAACACAACACAACACAACACAACACAACACAACACAACAAACACAAACACACCACACCACACCACACCACACCACACCACACCACACCACACCACACCACAACACACTCATTCTAGTTCGTTATAAGTGTGTATACAGCATATATACAACAAATGGCCGGGACCCACCAAAAAACAGTATATCAATCAGTTTGTTAAAAGCTTGTTAGATACATTGTTCTACATTGACAACTTGTTCTTATTACTTAAATAATCTAGAAACTATTACTTAAGCTAATATTATTGTACAGAGACTTGTGCAAATCTAGTCGTCCAGCAAAGACGAGTGAGTGAGTGAATGAGTATGGTTTTAGGCCACTTTTAGCAATATTCCAGCAATATCATGGCGGGGACACCAGAAATGGGCTTCACACATTGTACCCTTGTCAGGAATCGAACCCGGGTCTTTGGCGTCACGAGCGAACGCTTTTACCACTAGGCTACCCGACCGCCCCCCAGCAAAGAGGAGAATTGTAACCTCCTGCATATATTTGTAGCATGTTGGTAGAGGACCATGGGTTACTTGGCCTTTGTATTCCATATCTCCCTCTCTAAATGATGATCATTGACAGTTGAACTGGCCCATCCCGACACAACCCAGATCCCGAATGAGCATGTCCAGTGGTGAAGTGACCACTTCCTGCCAGCACTCGCGCCAGGATGTCAGAATGTCACGCACAGGTTACACATGCCCTGTAACATTAGGTTTCATTGACCCTGGACAGGATGTGAAGCATGTCGACTGGCATTTACACCACAATCAAAGACCCTGATACTGAACTGGTAGATTAACATCTAGTCTCTGAAATGAACATATCTTACAGAAAAAAGTTGTTAAACATGTTAAATTATCTTAATAAAATAATTATTTCAATTGTTCAGATAAACATGGTATTTTTATTACAAAAGATAAAAACCAAGAACTGCCAAGAATCCTTCTAGCAATGAGGATATTTTGTGTAAAAGCTTCACAATTCGGGCTAGACAAACAGCTAGTCTCTGAAATGAACATATCTTACAGAAAAAAAGTTGTGAAATTATCTTAATAAAAATATAATAAAAAAGAGCCCAGAGACTCTCTTCACTGCAGTAATCTAAACTTGCCAAACATTATAGACTTGCATTGACTATATTGGATATATTTGTTTCAGGGTCTGTATGACAGACAATAGACTTGCACAAGTCTCTAAAGCAATAATTATTTGTAAAATCATAAGTTCTAGATTATGTAAATAATAAGAACAAGTTGTCCCTATAAGAGACCTTAGGTGTACTGTCCACATATCTAGGCTTGCTATGAGGAAAGAATTACAACACATTCATGGACTATCTTTCAGTGTCTTGGAGCAAGGCTAGACAGACTACTGAGCTGGGAACGATGGCAGTTCTGTCTGTGCTCACCACATGACATCTCCATGCACAATGTACATTACATCTCTATTTACCTTTCATGTCTAGAATCCTATTTACTCCCCAGTGTAGATAGTTTGTACCTTGCCCCATGAGGGTGTCGTGTACAATAAACATTCTTGATTCTTGACATGTCTTATGCCACACTCTTCTAATTTTATGTTTCACGGATTTATTCCAGCTTTTCCACACAAGGTCGGTCGAAATAAAAATAAATGTGTCAATTATTTATTCATTTATATGAAAGTCATTCTGCCATTGGGGTAAAACTGCAGGTGGCCTCTTGAATCACTGATAGTGATATAGACATGGAATTAATATATAACATTTTTTTACTGTATTTGAGGGTTTATATTATTAGCAGGACATAAACAAAATGAAAAAACATATGTTTAATTTATTTCTTAGACCGGCTGCTTTTCAGTAGGGGTGGAAGGCCTATGAAACAAAAAATAAAACATGTGTGGCCTTATGATTATGTAGCACTTCGTGTGCAGTGGGAGGGGGAGTCCGTGGTCCACCAGTGGGGAGTCTCGGTGTCATTAAGCCTTTGTGGCAATGACAAGCTGCAGATAGGACTGAATTGAGGATCCATGAGAATCAGCAAGCATTGATATTGGCTGCTATTTTGAAAACAGTTCTGATTCTAGAATGTATGTGCATGTGCTTAAAGCACAGTTGCCTGTAATAATCCAGTGATTGATATTATGAACAACGATCCAGACTATCAGGGTCTATTGACATGCCATCAACCAGTCACCGAGCCTGTCCACACGAGCCTGACCACCCGACCTTAAAGACATGTTGCTGTCGACCTACTGAGGTACTCAAGGTAGCCTAGTGGACCAATCAGCCTAAACCATTATGGTGACATTGTGTTATTGTTGTTGAAGTTGATACTCAGCCAGAAATTCCCATTTTGAACATGCATTTCAAGCAAGTAAAGCTGTTTGTCTGTTGTTTAACGTCTAACTCAGCAATATTCCAACTGTGTGACAGCGGTCTGTAAATAATCGAATCTGGACCAGACAATCTGGTGATTGACATCATGAGCATCGATCTATGCAATTGGATGACATGCATCAACCAAGTCAAAAAGCCTGAACACCTGATCCCGTTGGTCGCCTCTTACGACAAGCATAGTCACCTTTTACAGAAAGCATAGTCACCTTTTACGGATAGCAGGGGTTGTTGAAGACCTATTCTAACCCGGATCTTCACGGGTTGCAATTGAAACTGACAAAACTATGTAAAAATCATAGAGAATCATACATCAACCATAACACTGTTTATGTCTAACTACAAATCTACTGATTTCTCCATTACTGAAAGAGGAGGTTTGTTTCCCCACATGGGTACAGCATGTGAAAGCCTTTCATGTGATTTCTGCCATGTGATCTCGGCCATGTGTTGCTGCAGTGTTGCTGAAGGCAACTGGAAACCTCACAGAACATACATCAGTTTCATAAACTATCATGCTGCAACATCTGCACTTGAAAAACGTGTGGTAAATGTTGCAAGATGCCAGCTCCTTGATCTATAAAGACACTGATTCATTCCATTAGCAAGTTATCAAACCATCCCCCAGTCCCCATCATCCTCATCACTGCTCCTTAATGTAATAAATACCATCAATTTACCATTTTGACCATGTGAAGCGTAACAGAGGCACCGAATCCAACATTTAATAACATTTCCAATAATGAACAGTGAAAGCTGATGAAGTGCCAAGAAGCATGGCAACACAGGCGATGATCGACGCCAGTGGTGGTCGCTCTACTAATGTGGAACA